TTCTGTCACTTATACATTTTTACGATATCGTAATGTTCCCACGAGATGACTTCTGTTCCGCGACGTCGCAAACTTCTCTCAAAGTAAAAAGAATGATGAATGAAACGGTATTCCATTTATGAAACTATTCCCTAATGTGTTCAGATTTCTCTTGCAAATGCGTAGGTATTTGAATGTAATCATTATCATACTTTCTCGTTCACTTTGGAAGAATTGAATGATCATTGCTACGTATTGACCGTTCGCAAAAGGGTAACGTACTAATGCTGGGTATCTGAAGTTTACATTTATTTTACCTAATGATTAATAAGTGTTAGGTTAGCTATGTTTCGACGATGTAAAAGTTATGTTACGTAGTTCGGAAACAGATTTCATGATGTTATCGAACCACTAACGAACATTTAAACGTAGCTGGGAAACTGGTAAATAAAGTATTTATCCTGTATTGGTCTTTAGTAAGCTAGCGCCAACCATTTATCGATCAAAACTATTGTCTTGTATCACAGGCAGGCGCTTTTATTGTAAAACCGTTAAATAGAAAAAATGTCGGCTACATGTGTTTTTTAATTCAAAATCACACACAAAATTGTATGATTTCTGATATTAGTAGCCACGAAGCTATTGTTTTTATGATACTAATGTACATAAAGTATTCTCGTAAAACGCTAAGCTTCGGTAAATTAACTTTTATCTGGTCCACTAGGGTGATGTCCAGCCATTGGATAAAATTGCACTTTTTACGCTCGTCTCGCTGTTTACGACCTATTAAATTTTAGCATTTACAAAACAACGGCTATTGCATACAATGCCTACTTACTAGGGTTTGGCCGCTTTAATTTTACTAATGGTAAATACATATTTCAGATTTAAAGAAAAATATTGCTTATTTTATCTTAGCAATTCTACTGTTATCTATACTGATATTATAAAGAGGAAAGATTTGTATTTTTGTATGTATTGAAATACAAAAACTACTGGGCCGATTTTAAAAATTCTTTCACTGTTAGAAAGGTAATTTATCTGTGAGAAAGTAAGGCTATTTTTTATTATTTTTTTATTTCACGCGGACTAAAATCGCGAGTAAAAGCTAGTATTTTATTATTTGTGAAAGTAGTTATTTATTTATCGTCACAAGGACAAGTTGGATGTTAAATAAATCTGTATCAAGATATATTAGTATGTATGCTCATACCAAATGGTCGAGATAGCTTGTTGTGCTGACACTTTCCTTTAATTAACGCCGCAAACTAGAAGCGTATAACAATTTAGTGGAATTAGGGCATAACTAACACGTGATTTAATCCGCAACAACAGCTTGTATTTTATCAAACGTGGTCCTTTATTATTTATTTAAACGTATTTATGAAATACATAAAAAAACGTTGCTAAGAAATTAAAAAAAAACACTTTTCTAAGATCCTTGACTGTCGTTTAGAGTAAAAGATTACCTAAAGACCTTAGCCGAATTTTCTAGTTCTCTACTTATAAGATGATTTATTCGCATATATCTGTGTTGCATGCCGGTGACGTCCGCTCCAATCGATCACTCGGATAAGACTGCTGCTGCTGCTTGCATGACGCCATGACAGTAGACATCAGTGTTGCCATACACTGCAATATCATTATTAGACGCAACACTTGACTTTTACCTGCTAAGCCGGGCACTTCCAGATTTCAAATTTTTAATACCATACCTGTTATATGTTTAACTGAAAATAATTCAACTAGTTATATAGCTACTGATGTCGCCATTGCTCGTCCCAGGCTGACGCATCGCCCTCCATATTGTCATCATTTACGTTCAGCGAACGAAACGTTTATAAATTGACGTACATTTTGTCTCCCTGTCACGTAAATCTGGAAGAAACATTTTATTCAATACTAATACATAATGATGCATTTATCAAGCTATCAAGATATTTTTTTTAAGATAAAGGCAAACGATCTTTGTAAACACCAAGAAGTTCATCGACGCCAATGGTCCAGAAGAAGTGCATATGCGTTGCCGAACTTCGAGAAGGTGATATTCTCGCTTCTTGAAGGACCTTAGAACTCATTGAGTTATTTAACTATACAAGATTGCAATTTTAATCCATTATGTTTGATGAAGTATACAAGTGTTAGATAAAGAGCATTTGAAACCAACTGGCATATATGCCTAGACGTATGTATAAGAAGCGAGAGTGCTTTGTTAAGACGGTTCAAAAGAGGTCTGTGGCTGCCTACCCTTCTGAGTTACGGGCGTTATGTCGTAGAAAACAGTATGAAAATTGATAATGCGCATTAAAAAAATATTTGTAACGGTTTTGTTATTTTTGAAAAAATTAAACAGTATGTTTTCTATGGTTACTTTGTAGGTTATATCTGTAAGCGTGGTACATATAGTTATGCACAATTAACAAGTATGATAATGATAACAAAATGTTGTTATTCTCTCATAATAATAAGAATTATTTGTTCCGTGAAATCTGGAACACAAGTACCAAGTAGAGCTTTTATTTCGTTGACATCGCGTCAGACGTCAAGGAAACAATTCAATTATATGAGACAGCCTTCACGCAAAGAAAACATCAAATATATTTCAACTTTCTCTTGCACAATAATATTTCTATATGTTTTTTCCTGTACATAGCACATTCAGTACATGCATATCTATCTAAACAGCTCTATGATCTTACTCTGTTAGTGAATAGTGAATTTTAGACATGATCTGAAGATCATCAAGTGTGAACAGCCCCTTAGTGTAGATTTCTCGTACTAAAGATTCATTAAGGGACTCCCACAGTGAATATTAAGCGTAAGTAAGTAGTGTAAATAAGAATTATAAGTATAGTATGTGCTTCAACTTTCTAGTACATTCTTTCATAACTTTATCTACGAAATTTAGTATTTCAATACAACCAAGTATATTGAATATTCTGTAAAAAAAATTCCAACCCCCACCAATATTCAATGCACGTCCAGTCTAACGGGAATGGAAAATAAAAGCAAAAGAAATAAATTGCAAACGCTATGTGAGCAAAGTGCCTTTGTTTCATCGCAGTTTTCGATTAGCTCCTTTTGTTCGGGACTGTCCGCTTTTAACTAAAAAGTTTGTATATGTATGTTTAAATTGAAATTCAATTACTTCCAATTACTAGTCAATGGAAAATATACAGAATTCGAAACAAAAATATCTGCTCATAACGGCGCAGTATTTCTAAATCTGTAACGTTTTTATTTTTTTCAGGAAGAACGTTGGTAGGTAAAGTTAACAATATCGTTATGCACAAATGTTACAGAGCCACGGTTATATGCATATTCAATGCTAGCTGTTGCTTGCGACTTCGTCTGCGTAAAATTTAAAAATCATTATGAAGTATAGCCTTTTTTTTTTTTCGCGGGGGAATTCTTAATAAAGATACCTTGTTTCCGGGTTGGAATATGGTTATGTAGGGTTTTACCTACTAAAACCCCCTCGGTGGCCATCCTCTAGTGCTACTGGTGGGGCTCCGGGATCTCCGGTGGAACGCACCGGTGCGGTGCATGAAGTATAGCCTATGTTACTTACAGATAAACTACCTTTCTAACGGTAAAAGAATTTTTAAAATCAGCCTATTAGTTTTTACGGGAATCAAGTACACACAAAAATAAAAATCTTTCCTATTTGTAATATTAGTATAGAATATATAATAGATATAGAGGTAACGCTTTTATACTAAAGCTGTCCCATTGTCTTATCTCATACCAAAATTCTACTTATAAAAGTGGAAGCCTATTTTCGACATTAAACATATATTTTTAAAAATAAACAAGACTGCGTATTTAATCGTTCTAATGCATCAATTACAATGCAACCTTACATAATATTTGAAATAAAACTTTGAAATAAATGAGTGTTTAAAAAGTGTAGTCGGAAGTATAAAGTATTCTTGCCGTTAAATTGAACCTCTTATGTTCATCCGGAAATAGCAAATGATTTAGTTCCAATGACGGAAGCAAGTTCATATTACTGGCGTCCGTATTCAATATGTTGTATTAAATACTTCCCCTACAACTTCACTGGCAAAATATTTTTACAGAGTATTTTCCTCCACAAAACATTGTTAGCATTTTTATTTCATAACTCTCTTTATAAGCTGCCAACATTTCTTACTACATTCTTGGTTCGTTCTGTTTGAAGAGCGCTAGTTTACTTTAATAAATTTTTATCTAATAGAAAAAGCAAAAAGAACAATTAACAATTTCTTCTTTTCTTCACTGTACAGTTTTTATTTTCCTTCAGTGTTTTTAAAGTTATATAAATTAGTTGGTGAAAATTCTCATACAAAATTAGAGGCGACGATCAAATAAAATTAAGCCTAAATTCCTTGCATATCTTTTTGATCGACTTCCTAAAGGAAGGATGTAACTACTCATTTCGTCTATATATATTTTTATGTGTGTTATTTAATTTACAAACAAAACTATGCAACACAATAAAAATAAATATGTCATATTGGACATTTTTATTACGTACCTTTAGATAATGGTAGATAAGCTATATTTACATTTTTCTCACAATTTTTTACCGATTAATAGATTGCAACATCAATAGAAAGATATAAAGTTTCGAGTGCCATTTATGTACCCAAAGTATAATTTACCGCCGAACCCATTTCATGATAAACTCCCTCTAGTAAATTAAACCAAATTTTAGTGGACAAATAGAGTTGTAGTAGTAGCATTAGCTGTTTACAGATGGCGCTGTTGTTTATTTTAATTGTTTAATACGGTAAATGAATGTAACTAGTTAACTGGGTGTGTTTTAATTTATTTTCAGATATTAATTTCATTTATCTCTGTTAACAGTTCGAATCCTCACCACCCCTACCATTAACAACTGACAGCGCCAAAATAGTTAAAATAAAGAAAGAATAAAATACCATAGCTTGTAACGTATCTAGTGGATTATACATGCCAGTATTTGTGCCGATTTGAAGCGCCCCCGCTTGATTTCTCCGAGAACTAATTTTGACATAATCAATGTGTCAAAAGTTCTCGGCGTTTTGGTTCAAATGTTTATTCTCCTATTTATAAGTTTTTAATGTGTAAGATTAGTGTGCATAAACTTATGTAAAAAAGCTGCTTATTGTTATTTCGTCTTCAACAACAATGTTTACTTGTATATTTTGTAAAACTCATTACAAGAAAGGAAGTGGGATCTCATTTCATAAGTAAGTTAGTAGTAGGCTAGTTTAAGATGAGTTGTTATTTAAATTAGTATTTACTGTGCTTTTATTAACAGTTATATCAACGGACATAGATATATTACCTCTAGATGGAGTATTTTAATACAAGTTTGTTTCGTATGTCATTATTGTCATGCCAATATTTACCATTGTTACATTATAATTTTTATTTCTTGTTAAAAGTGTATATTATCAGACTTTTCTAAAAACTAAGGAGTGAAATATATACATAAAAAAGATGTATTAGATTTAAATAACTGGTAAAAATTACTACAAAAAAGAGTTCGGGAGACCTGACATGCCTCACTTGCTCTCCGTATGCTCCATCTAGAAGTGTTAATGTTTGCAAGTGTAAATCTATACCAATAAGATTAATGATATTCTTTATTGAAAACTAGCTGTTCTCTTGCAGCTTCATCCGCATGAAATTATGAAAATTTTACTTTATTGTTTACATTTGTCAAATTATCAATAGCAAACGTCAAAATGTCATGACATGACAAACCTTGGCAATCTTACTTTCTTAATGTTGGCAGCAACTTATGTTCTCCTTCCCACATTAGGGTTTTTATCCAAAATATTTATCCCCTAAGTTTAATGGCGTGAAAATATATAGCCTAAAGTGTGACGAAAGTGTAGGGCTTTTTATTAGTAAAAGAATTATACAAAAATATGCTGTAATTGCCAACATCAGACGACAAAGAAGTGTGTGTTTATGCATAATTATAATAGTATAAATACATGCAATGTTATTTGCAGGTTTCCAAAAGATGAGAGATTACATCTGTGGCTAAAAAATATGAAATTTGAAAACTTTTATCCATCAAGCAATGATCGCATTTGTTCTAAACATTTCACAGCTAATTGCTTTACTAAACACTTGACTCGCACATTATTGAAACATAATAGCATACCAACAATATTTCGTTTTAAAACAAGTAAGTGAATGTATTGTAATAAAAATGCTTTTAAAATCTTGTTTATAAATTGGCAGATACAATTCTATAAAATAATCATACATATTGTATCAGAATTTACTACACAATGGTATGGCTAGTTTTAAGATACGAAATGAGTATATTAGAGGAAGTTTGAGAGTAGCCCCCATAGTAGAGAAGGCTAGGAGTAAAAGGTTAGCATGGTATGGGCATGGTATGGGCATGTTATGAGGAGGGATGAATCGCATGTTACAAGGAGAATGTTAGTTATGAGTGTGGAAGAGTACATCCCTAGAAAGAGATGGATGGATTGTGTAAAAGGTGACATGATCAAAAAGGGAGTGATGACTGAGATGACGTATGATAGAGTTATGTGGAGAACAAAAACCTGTTGCGCCGACCCTACGGGAGTAGGATAAGGAGATGATGATGGTGTGGCTAGTTTAAAAATTAAATTCTTTTATACCCATCACTAATGACTATTATTCCCATGTGTTTTCAGAGGCTGCTTCTAAGAATAAAAAAGATGCTTCTAAGAATGATGATACTGAGAAAAGCCGTAAGTCACCATGTTCAAATAGCCACAACTCTATGGAACAGGATCCCCTCACTGATGATGAATTATGCAGCGAAATAAAAGTGGAGATTGAAGAAAACCATGATTCTAGTTGTTCATGTTAGTCTAAATTATTTTACTACTAATTAATACTAGTAGTTGCTCACGAATTCATCTGCATATAATCAAAAAATAAAGTCTATGTTACTGATAACATAGCTTTTTAATGGTGTAAGAATTTTTGAAATTGGACCAGTAGTTTTGAGTTATTTCAATATGTACAAAAATACATATCTTTTAACTTTATAATATTAGTATAGATTACACATATTATTTCATTGATAAATATTTTTTAGAAGGTATTTTCCAAATGGCTTGAAAGATCTCAATGAAATTTGTCCAATTGGCACAGATATGTAACATAGGAAGAACACTTAGGCTACTTTTTAATTTAATTATGCATGGACGGAGTCACAGGTGACAGCTAGTGTTTGATACTTTTTGCCTGACTAATAAAGATAATGATTTCACTAGAATATTTATATGTGGTACTAGTTTTTGCTCGTAATTTCTCAAACCAGAATTTAAAAATCTATATAGTCTTTTTTACTCAATGATAATGTAGCTTGTTGATGTTTAAATAATTTTTGAAATCAAGACAAGTTTATTTGTTAAATGTAAACACTCAAATCTTTCCTATTTGTAAAATTTGTACGGAACCATAATTGTATGATTTATAATTTGTATGGCTGATGCATATAAAATTTGTTTGTAGGTATGTCGAAATGCAGCAAAGTGGAACAGAACAATTTACCAAACAAAGGTATATCTCGAGTATGGGGTGATGTCAGTCATGATCATAGTTATCAAACAAACACCCCCACATCAACCCGAAAGGTAATAGAAGGAATTCAAAATACTTTGAAAGTTGCACGTACTCGTATAAAAGTATTATCTCAACATGTAAAACGCTTAAAAAAGAATATAATTAATTTAAAAGATACAAATAAAAAATTAAGAAAAAGAACAGCAATCGGTGATGTTTTTGTTGATATGTTAAAAAACACAGAAGATGCAAAGTCACATTTATTCAAACGTATGTTTTTAAATTCCGATGACAATGTAAGCCATGCAGGATATCCTAAAGAATTGAAATCTTTCTCATTAACACTCTATGCTCTTTCGCCACAAGCTTATAATTTCGTTAGGAAAAAATTTAATCTAGCATTACCACATCCACGTATGTTACGTTCGTGGCGAAGTGCTTTAAAGGCGAAATCTGCAAATTCAATTAAGAATAACAGCGGTGCCATCGACCCACCAAGAGTGGTGAGTGTACTTTCAATACAAGATGGCTTGGAACATGTTAAGGCGAAGCGTGTCACTGACTCGCCTTACGAGAATCCACACCAAGATGGAATGGAACATGAAAATAGTGGAAGTGAATCAAGTTTAGATGAAGATGATGAATATAGTGGCACTGAATCACCCGTTGAATTAGATTTAATTTTAGATGAAACGGAACATGAAAATAGTGGCACTGAATCAAATAGTGATTTAAATTTAGTTCTAGATGAAATGGAACAATGGCACCGAATCACTAAGTGAATTTACATCAAAGGATAAAAAGGAACATAACAGTGAGAACACAAAATCACGCGTTGAATCCACTTTAATAAAAGCTAGAATGAATCATGTCAATGCTTAAAACGACGATAAAAATACCCGAAGTAAAAAAAATCTAATCTATCAAGAAAAAATTTTTTTTACATTTATTTATATACGGTTACGAATTCAATGACTTTTTCTTTAAGTTTCTTTAATTTTTCAAAGAGATGATATCAAAGACAAGCGAGATAATGTAATAGTTAAGCTTCACAATTTATTTTAAAACAAGAGTTTTTCGTTTGTAATAATAAATGTTATAAATAATTATGTAATTTTGTACAAATACATAAATAAAACTTTTCAAAATAAACTTGTTTCATTTATTTTGTTTATAGTATAGACAGATTTATTTATATCGAAGATATGTTAATATATGAAGCGAAGACTGTAACCCTTTATAAAGTTAATTGACATTTGACACTGTAAAGTGCATAAAGCTTTGTTAAAAAAATAAGAATAATGGTCCAATTTAACTAATATTCGATCACTAGTAACGGTAAAAAACATAAGCTTTCACTTATTTTCTTAACATTTTGAATGCTATTAAAGTAGTTAATTCAAGCATACTGCAAACTTGGCCAGTACAGTCGGTCAGCTATCTATAACTGGACTGTCAACTGGTACAGTGTAAACGCTAACTGGTGCCAGTGAGTCCACACAATCTATGACTGGCCATGGCAACTGTTCAACTGCACTCGCCAAGTGTGAACCGCGCATTATTTAAAAAAAACTGTCGTCTAACTAAGTGTTAAGAAATATCGGTGACTGGTGTTTTTACTAATAGATTAATTAACAAAGGTAAGCTGTTAAACCCACCGTATCCATTCTACTATTTTATATTTAGACACCTGGATAATATCGCCTTAACATGGTACAAACTTTATTAAGTTGTCGTACTGAAAAAGGAAAAGATTCCTAGAGTTCTCCTACACTTTAGGCTATCGGAAAGAAAATTCCATTTCACCGAAACCACACCCTTAATAAGTAAGCCAATCGATACCTCTATTTCAGTTTATATTTCAATGATAAAGCAACCTGAATTTCACGTTCATAACCTTGTACATGTTGAACTAAGTATGAAACCAGAGACAAAGCGAAAGCTTCTAACAATACCGTAAGGGAAGCTTCAAACCTTCCAAGAAAACACGTTTCCAATATACCAAATACATTCAAAAGGTAAAACAAATACACACCTATAAGCAAAAGGAAAATTGTCCTAACAATGAGATACGTTAAACAAAAGAAAGGAATAATTAAATATATTTATCGAGGTAAATCTTCAATGAGAATAGAATAGCTGCGAGTGTTTAATTAAAACGTTATAGTTGAGGATTAACATAATATAATGTAACAACGAAATACCACTCGAACACTTGAGTTTATATAAGATTTCCTGGGAAAGTTATTCTTCTTTTTTGTAAGAGAAGGCAAACGAGCAACGGGAACACAGAAGTGGTCAACGACGCCCATGGACATCCGCAACACCAGAGGAATTACAGATGCGTTGCCGGCCTTTGAGGTAATTGTAAGCTCACTTCTTGAAGGACCCTAAGTCGTATTGGTTTGAAAATACCGCCAAGGACAGACTGTTCCACAACGCGGCTGTGCGGGGCAGAAAGTTCCGCGAAAACCGCACGGTTATTGAGTGCCAGCCATCGGTGAGGAGTGTACCTAGCGTTCTGTCGTGTCGTCTAATGACGATATTCTAATCGAAAAACAGGAAGGAACAAAAAACATACCACTACTACAAAGAAAGATACTGACCATTGTCCGTCCAGCGGATAGCTGCATGTGAGTTAGTAACGTTTTCAAAATCTGCGATGATCTGCACCTCTGGTTCATCAAAGCCGCAGCTGCACTTGGAATTGACGGCAGCGGTAGAGCGTGGCCCTGACTCGCAAAAATGGCATCACTATCGCTCGAAACGCTCGTCGGGCGTGCGCTATGCCGGAAACAAAGGCAGAACTATGTCCGCAGACTAAACGCCAGCCACAGCCGGAGCGGAACTTGCAGCACGTGACAGCGTTAACACCATCATAACGCACAGTTCGTAACAGGTCATTTTCACAAAAAAAGTACTTTAACGTAACACACATTCGCGTAAGTATACGAAATACTTCAAAGTTCAAGTATGAACATAATAGGTAAAATTTATGAGCCAACCGCGTCGTCAAATCAGTTATCTAGAAAAAAATGTTTTCAAGTACCGCCTCACATTGGGTTGCCACTTATAGTTCGGGATAAAAATAACAACGAAATACCATACACTTGAGTTTATTTAAGATATCGTGGAAAAGTAATTCTAATGTAAAAAAATGAAAGAAGAATTATGGTATAACGAATACATACAGAATGGCGAAGGGGCGGGCTCGGACCGCATCCAGCCCGAGAGATGTTGCGGTTTAAACGTAATGCTATAACATAAAAAAACTAAATCAAGGTAATTCTTGTAATATATAATTGATATTACAATACTATACTAGTATTATGTACAATCGGGGCAATATAATCTGGACTAAAAGTCAGTGGTACACGACTGGTTTCTATTAGAATCCCTTCGTTTGCACCACTCATTGCTGTCTAATTAATTAATTGTAGGTTAAGGCGAAGTGTGTCTCATTGCAAAGAACAAGGCATTTTTTCCTGAAGTGCATTTGCAATTGATAATTTGACACATATAAACAATAAAATAAAATTTTCATAATTTTATGCGAATATAAAAAAAAGACTAAAGAAGATCACAGTATAGGGGGAAGGAAGTCACCATTGCGGATTTACAAGTTATAAAGGCTTATGAAACAAAGTTACTAAGACAACAGTACACTAAGTATAAGACAATACCAATCACAAACTGTGATGAATATTGTTTGTGAGTCCTCGTATTAATATTTGCATAACATCCTGTTAACATGTATCGCTAGAAGTATGTTTATGATCAAACGTTATCAATTCAAGTAATGTAAAGCTATCGTTTATCAAACAGAAGCAATCAGCTTTTCAATATTAAAATTAAATCGAAATCAATCCTACGACGAATAGAATTCTTTAGAAGAGCGGTAAAAAAATTAATCGCTATCCCAAATTTTTACGAAGCTTCGTAATTCATATCGCATAGTCTTCTCGAAATAAATGAGTTTTCATAACATTTTTTTACGAGTTCTCTTTTATTAATCTGCGATTATAAAGTTATACCGAGAATGTAATAATAATTGCTTGTAAGTTGGATTTAATACAATTATTTTGAATAGCAATTACAAATTAAAATGAAAATAATCTCATTTATTCATTACTTATAAATACTAACGTAAAATAGTCTGTGTTTATTTCGTTTCCAAGCAGTTATTCAACTTCAAACAACTCTAGCACTGCGTATTTGAAGAATATTTTCTGATAGAAAATTGCGTAGCATTTAACAAGTGTGTACAAACCGTTTCGTCTGAACAAATTACTCAGAACAAATCATTTAACAAATTGAAGTACCACTTAGTCCCTTCCATTTATGTCGCAGTCACCTTATACGACAAGTCAAGGTTAAACTTAGAGCGCGCGCACACACACACACACACACACACTTTGACTAAACTATCGCACAACTGTTTAGTCGCGCTTTGATTCCTATGATCTTATATGGAAGTGCAGACTACTCGATTTTTAGTTGTGCAACTAAACAGTTGAATTGGCTGCGAAACAATCGACAATCGCACAGAGCTTGAACTTCAAGTTGAATTATTTCATTTAATTAGTTTAATTTCAAATAAATTATTATGTTACAGGACTGCTCAAGAACGAATAAATTTTCTCTCTCTTATGCTATGTTTTTAGTTTTTAGACTGTAATTAAAAAATAATAAACAATGTTCATGCAAACCTGTAAAGAAATGTAGTTGTACTCCAAAATACCAACTACTTAATAAGCTGAAACCAGAAAATATTTTGTTAATATTTCACAGCCAGTGAATGAATATGAATATGTTGCAAATAGAAGGAATACTTAGGTAATACGAACATAACACATTTATTAAGTTACTAGCTGTTCCCGTGCGGCTTCATCAGCATGAAATTATAAATTGCAAATGTGAAAATACCAATTACCTTACTATGGCAATCTTGCTCCCTCGATGTTAGCAGTTATGGTCTCTTTCCCACATTAGGGTTTTTATACAAAATATTTACCCCCTAAGTTAGAGTAAGACGTAAGTGTAGGGCTTTTTATTAAATAAAGAATTGTTCAAAAATATGCTGTAATTGCTGACATCTTAGGTAATAAAGAAGTGTGTGTTTACGCTTTATTATAATAGTATAGATAGATAACTGAACAATATAAACAACATTTTAGGTCACACTTAATCAACTTTTATTCTATACATTATACCGTATTTCAGTTTTAACAGACAACGAAAGTTGCTAATTCACGCAACAATCCACTTCGGTAACCAACAACAATATTTATCGTACGGAAAACCTTTCTGTGCGTAAATAAATCCGAGAGATATTCTCAGCCACAGCTTTATGAGAATTTCATTATATTCCGATTTCATTTAACATAAATGAAACTCTTTATACATAATCTAAGGTAATATCGATGATAGCCAAGGTAATTTTCCCGTCGTCTTGAATGTGTGCCAATCGTAAAGAAATCTCCCAAGAATTAACATTATGAGAGCCATTAGTACTAAATTTACTATGTTAATATAACTTATAGGCATCTCCACTTGCTCTCCTTTACTGCACACGTGGCCTAATGATATTGTGCTGATCTGAAACAATATATTTTTATAGTTTTAATTTTGACCGGAATTTTCATATCATATTAATATTATGAAATGAATGTTTGAAAGAGTTTGTAGCCTAAACGGCTGAACGTAACTGAATGAAATTTGGCATAGATGTAGAGCATAGTCGGGAAGAACACACAGGCTACTTATTTTTGATTTTTTTTTTAATATCACGCGGAGTCACGGGCAAAAGCTAGTTATTATACATTTAAAATTATACAAAATACAATTTAAATATATACACAAATGTAGCCCTGCAAAAACCATATGATTGGTTTGTCCGCGGGTGCGTTGTAACAATACTATGTAGAGTGTAGTGAAGTAGAAGTGGACACACCACCGGTGTAGCTGTGTAATAACTTATGTGTGAAATTATATAACGTACATACATAATATACTGTACATAAATAAAATACATATAATAATGGGTTATTTTCAAAAAGACTTGTCTACTTAACAAAATATGGAAGCCTTTATTCATTTGCATTCCATTGTCTAAAGTTATTGGCATACATTTATCTAATTAGTTACCTGTACATGTGAAACCGTTTTATCGTCAGACTTCGGACACCTAATGTCATGTTGATCGCGTATCACTCTCTTGTATTTATGCAGCAAAGCTTGGAACCTCGGTATGAAGTGACAATCGCACCGCCAAGGATTGTGACCCAACATCACGTGCATTATATTATTGTTGACTTGTATCGCCTTATCGAATGCGTACACTGGAATCTTGGGTAAAGCAAATATTTAAATATTAATCTAAACACTTTTTTACATGACATTACAATATTTAACAAGTAAAACATTTTTGACCGACTTCCCAAAAGAAGGAGGTATTCAATTCGACCGTATGTTTTTTTTTTTTTTTTTTTTTTTTTTTTTTT